TGACTGTGTAGACCTGGAGCAGCAGCAGCAGCACCAGGAACAGCAGCAGCAAATGCCACTTTACAACCTATTGATGTACACAGCAGGCTGCTTGCAATCCCGCTGCGATGTGTCCGCCGTCGTTTCATCTCGCGCTACTACTCTATGGGAGCTGCTGGTTGAGGTGTACAGACAGCGGCTGTCTGCTGCACACCTGCAAGAGCTCTTGCAGCTGCTGCTGCTGCGGCACAGGCAAGCTCGAGATCCTCAGCTGCGCACACAGTTGCTGCGGACATCTTGTTGGCTGCTTCTGCAAGACCCTGAAGGCCTCTTTCCCCTTTTGCTGCAGTCGCGCGCATGCACTCAGCCGCAGCAGCAACAACAGCAACAGGAGCAGAAGGAAAGGCCGCAAGCCCAGCAACAGCAGCAGCAACAGCAGCAGCAGCCGCAGCAGAGGGGCAATACTGCAGTAGGCTCAGTAGCAGGAACAGCCGCTGCTCCACCTGACGCAACGGCCAGTGCAGCAGAAGCTCTCAACAACAGTCGCAGGGGTAGCAACAACGCTTGCAGCCTTGATAGGAAGGTTGCTGCAGCAAAAGGTGCTGCTTCGGCGGGAGACAGCAGGCCAGCTGGGCGAAAGAGCAGCAGCAGCAATCAAAGGAGTCCCAGCAACAACAGCGTTGCGCAGCAGATAGCACGGCACCGCTTGAGGCGAAGGCAGCAGCAGCAACAGCAGCAACAGCAGCAGCTGATGCCTGAGGCAGCAGGAAGCAGCCTGCAGCTACTGCTAATTCTGCTGGTGCAGCATCTGAACGCAGAACAACAACAACGGCTACAGCGCAACAGGAGAAGCCGCTTGCGCCGCAGCAGCAAATTTTCCACTACCATTTTTGTACGGGCCGCCTGCTCCTTTTTCACTGTGGGTGAGGGACAATGGCTTCGCGCTATCGCAGAACAGCAGCAGCAGCAGCAGCAGCAGACCGGAGTCTTCCAGACGTGTCTCGCCCAAGCCGTACGTAATGTGCACTATGCCACTGCCTCTGCTGCTGTTGAGATTTGCTGCTGCTGCACTTCAGTATGCTGCTGTTGCTGCTGCTGCAGTGCGACATCCGCCGCTTCGGGGCTAGCCCTGCAGCAGGGCAGCAGGCTTCGCCTTATTTTTACGGTCTCCGTGTTGCTGTTGTTTCTTGCTCTGCTGCAGCTGCTGCAGTGCGTACTGGGGTTGCATCGCCGCAGGTGCATTGTAAAGCAGCAGCGAGTGCTGCAGGAGCGTCTGCGGTGCCCTGCAGCTGCTTCCTGGTCGCCTGCTGCCGCAGCACAGGCTGATGACGGAGCAGCAGCAGCAGCAGCAGCAGAACCGCGCGGCATATGCAGACTTTCTGAAGGGGCCTTCAAAGGCACAGCAGATGACAGCAGTAGTGGCAACGCAAGCAGCAGCAGCAGCATCAGGAAGCTGCAGCGGCATGCGTCGCTGCATCACTGGACGATGGGTACGAGCAGCAGCAACAGCTGCAGCTTCACAGAGTTCTCTCCAGATTTAATCCCGCTGTACCGTGTGCTGCTTTGGCTGCTGCTGCTGCCGCTGCTGTTTGCCGCTGGTGCTCAGGGTCTTTAAGGCATTTTGCTGGCTGTGCATTTTCGTCCTGTGCATGTCTTTCTTGGTGTTGGTGCAGACACTGGGTTACGCCGGCGTTCTGCTGGCTGGTGCAGCAGCAGGTACAGTTCTGACAGCAGCAACAGCAGCAGCAGCGCATGCAGTTGCTGCAGCAGCGAAAGCAGCTACAGCAGCAACACCACAAGCAGCAGCGGCCTGCATGACCGGAAAAGCACGCCGTTTCGTTTGCTGCTAAAACAGCAACGGGCGGGGCTGCTGCATCAAGCGACAGTGGAGGCGCTGCTCTCGTCTGCGGTAACTGCTGCTGCACACCCGTATCTGTGTGGGCATCTATGGCCTGAGGAGGTGCAGCAACAACTGCAGCAGCTGCAAGAGCTGCAGCAGCAGAAGCAGCAGCAGTCCAGCCACCAGCAGCAAGGGAGGCTCTATGGCATGGCGTGCAGCAGGAGCGTTTCGCCCCAGTGCACAGCTATTTCGCTGGAAGTGCCACAGCTGCAGCAGCAGCAGCAGCAATTGTCACTGCGGAGCAGCAGTTCATTCGACGGGAAGAAAGACTCTGAATGGGATGCAGGTACACCTGAGGACCCAGTTGCAGCTACAACAGCTGCAGTTACTGGCAGCGGGGCTCAACAGCGGCCTGCGGCAGCGTCGCCTACAGCGGCAGGTGTTTCTGCGGCAGTGGCAGCAGCTGCTGCTGCTACGGCTCCCGATGGAGCAGCATGTCACGCAGTCAGCGGTGACATGAGGTTTTTTGTGCTGCAACAACAACAGCAGCATCAGCAACAATCGCACTCCGTTAGTATGCCAGCTGTTCTACTCCAACAGAGGCTGCGGCAGGAGGCGCAGCAGCAGCTACCGCAGCAAACGCAGCTGCTTCAGGGCAGGTTTACTACTCAAGAGCAGCAGAACACAACTGCCTTGCAGCTGCTAGCTGCCAGTGGCCGGCAGCGACAGCAGCAGCAGGAGACCGACAGCTCAGACGATGGAGAAATGAGGTGCGACAGGCCGTCTGTTTGATAACACTCGCGGCTGCTGCTGCTGCTGCAGCTCCAGGCTCGAGCACTCTGGCAGCCCTATTTACGATTTGGGGCACCGTTTACTGCAACAAGAGCTGAAACGCAGCGAAGGCGCAGCAGCAACGACAGTGCAGCAGCCGCAGCAGCAGCAGCAGAAGAGCAGCTGCCTTGTTCTTGGTAATCTATCAAGTGTACAGTTCGTTTGTTTGCTTTTTGCACTGCCGGTATGTAATCTGAGCGTTGAGGTGCGTGAACAGGTTAGGGGTGGTCCGTTACAGGCGATAGCAGGACTTATCACTGAACTTCATTTTTAAATAAATTGTTAAATTCATTTTTTAACGCATAAGCTTCGATCAATCGTCGAGCAGTATGCAAAAAAACAAGGAAGACCCATAGGGCGGCCGCAGGCATAGACCAGCTGCAGCTGCAGCTCCGGTGCAAGCAGAAGCACCGAGGAGCAAAGACTGAGAGACACAGACGGAGACTCATGTAAAGTTAAGAATACAGACAGAACACGAATGCAAAGACTTTCCAAGCACGCACGAAAAAGAAGACCAATGGACAAGACCCCGGCTGTATACTGTTTGCTTGCACTGCCGTGAACGTCTCAGTGTGGCACTTGAATTGGCAGTTGGTCAGCAAGAGCAGGCCGGCACTGCCGTTTGTCCAGTCGAAATGGTTTCAGCGTAGAGGATTTAAGCAAACTTAGTTTTCCGGACCTCCTCAGTCATTGCCAGTTAGTTATATACTTGCAAATAAACGGCACTGCCAAAGTGGGGGCCTGCGAAGCAGGCAGATTCCCCGTTCTTTTGGTGTCCCATTCAGCTATTCGCACTTTACTACTTGCTTTTTGTCATGCTGGGGTTTGCTGAGGCTAGGTGCGGCTAGATAGAGGCCACTGGTGGCGGCTGGTCTGAAGAGCCTTGATGCTTACGTCGTGCAACAATTATGTGGGCCGGCGTACTAAGTACTAAGTGAGGACGCACTTGCTTCAGAGGCGGACCATAGGCTGCTCAAGTGAAAGAAGAGAGGCATTGCAAGGAAAAACAGAAGGAGTACGAGACACTTATATGAAGCAGCACATGCTGAAACACAATTTAGAGGCGCAGGCACGGAGGAAAAGTACGCACCACGAAGAACGAAAAGACGGAAAACTGTATGAAGTGTGCAGCACCAGAGACCCGGAGTAACAGGAGAAGATAAAAGAAAGCAAAAGCAGAGCTGCAAAGAAGCGGAATTAAATATTGGCCATCACTACTGTAGATGCTGCTGGCACTGCTGAAGCCAAAAGGTCACCTGCGGAAATCTTAGTGGCCTTTCTGTTCGTCGGACTGTGGCTCAGGGTGATTCGTAACAAAATCTCACTATAATAACTTATTTGGCGTAGAAAGTTATAATTCTTTCAAAGATTTAAAGCACCTCATGCCAACTGAACGCATGCAGGTGTCCCCCCAAGCTACTACCGGAATATTCGGCCAACGCTGGCGTAGTGACCGCTCCACAGGCCAAAGTGCCCCACGAAAGGACCTGTTCCTTCGGTGTTGTTTGTATTTGGGAAAATTGAAATAATAAATATTCGGTTTTAGGTGTACCAACACGCACAACAACCAGCAGCCACAGCCTTACGGTCCCTCTCCCACAGACGGCAAGTGCCACAGTGGCTACGTGAGAAACAGCAACAGCAGCAACATCAACAGCAGCAGAAGAAATGCTAGCGTGAGCAGCAATGTGCGGCTGAGAAGATATAGAAACAGGAGAATTGAGGATACATCGCGGAGCTGCACGCAAAGGGGTACCCTCCATTGAGTCAAGGCGTACACGTCGCCTGTTGGTCTCACGTGACAGCTGCACGTCACCGGTATCAAGAAATAAAACGTGAGGCTACACTAGACTGAGGAAAAAAAAAGGTTGCAGATGGAAGACGAGACAAAGTGATACAAACAAATAGAACGCACTGCACGGGGAGTGGCGCAGAGCCTGGGAGACGGAAAACGAGCAAAAGGTGAACAAAAAGCAAAGATAATTAGGGGCGAAGAGAAGACAATAAAAAAAAAGAGAAACCAAGGCCCAACACAGGGACTGGCGGAAACAAGAGGGCAAGTGAGCAGAGGGGCAGCAACGCAGGCATGCCGAGGCAGCAAATGATAGAGAAACAAGTGCAAAGAGACTAACAGAGCGCTGCATGCTTAAAGAAAAAGAGCATAAAAAAAGAACTAAGAACGTGAAGAGACAAGCATGCAGGCCTAAGGAGACCCAAACGGCCAAGTAGTTCCAATCTGGCCGAGGGCGCCAAACGGATTAATAGCCAAGTGCGCAGCTACAAACAAAGCGAGCGAAGGAAAACGAAAACACACAGAGGCAGGCCCAGCCTCAAAACCAGCTTGCTCATCATGGACACCAAAGACGCTCCTCAGATAATAAACCACTCCGTAGCATCTGTGACGTACGTGCCACATGCTGCTTGCTGGGTCCCGCACAGCATTTGCTGCTTCGCTGGAGGCGAAGCCGCGAAGCGCACTGGGGATCTTGAGGTCTACAGACTGTCCGATGCTCAGCTAAAAAGGCAGCATCACAAAGAAACAAAGTCGGGGGTCAAGTGCATGGCTGCTGCACACAGTCCAGCAGGCGGGCGCTGCATCCTTACGGGTAAGCTTAATAAGCAACAGCAGCTCCAGCAGCAGTAGCTGCGCATTCGACGACCGCAACAGCTCCAGCGGCAGTAGCTGCGCATTCGACAACCGCAGCAGCTGCAGCACCCGCAACAGCAGCAGGTCCCTGACTGGCAGGTGCTGCTAGCGTTGTAGTGGGGGCGCGTGTAGCTGCAGTCTGGTGTAGTTGTAGTTTCAGCAGAAGCGCAGCAACTGCCGAAGGGCTACAGTGGGGCAGGCTGCATGCCCTCAGTCGTGCTGCAGCAGCTGGAGCAGCTACAGCTGCAGTATCAACAGCATCAAGTGTTTTGCAACGCAGCAACAGCATTCATAACAGAGGTTGCAGGTAAATTAACGGTAAAAGGACGGGCAAGCAATTCTGACTTAGCACTTGCTTGTGTTTTATTTTCCCTTTTGCCTGCAAAAGGCCACTTCGATGGGACCCTGAGTGCTTGGGACAGCGAATGCGTGGAAAGGGCCGTGTGGCAGCTGAAGGCTCACGAGACAGTCGCCAACGCGGTGTCTGCACACCCCAAAGAGCCCCTGGCGGTGACTGGGGGGAGGGATGGAACAGTAAAAGTGTGGGACTTGAGGACGAAGCAGAGCGTGAGGAAACAAAGTGAAAAAAGACCCACAAAAAGATCTAGGGGCACATGAAAAGCCAAACATACAGACGGGAACAAAGACTGGCAGACATAAAAATAGACTAAATATGCCGTTCACAATGAAAGGCAGGCAAAGATAGACGAACTGACATGATTAAAGAAATGCTGCACAGCAAACGGTAGTAGAAAGGCCATACCTACAAACAAAGAGGACAGAGAGAAAGAGGATAGACGACAAAAGCCAAAGCAAAAGGCAAAAAGAGTTAAAGAATAGCTCAGAGCGAGGAACAGCGAAAAGCAAGCAGAGCTTTCGATACGGAGCCACAAGTCAAAAACGTTTGTAATGAAGTGCATCAGTGTTGAGTGCACCTGGCATAAGACACAACTTCTCTAGCCTGAGCATCGACTGCAGCAGCAGCAAGTGCAGCCAGAGGAACTCTGCTGATGCTTTTGTGATGTTTTGGGTTTTCCTTTTACCGCATGTGTACTAGGTAGTGTCGCTGGAGCCTGCAGAAGGGGAAGAAGCTGCGGAGTGCTGGGCCGTGTGCTGGGGAGATTGCACAGAAGGCATTGGCCGTGGGGGCGTTATTGGCTGCGGCTACGACAACGGCGACGTGAAGCTGTTTGACCTCCGCAGCATGCGTTTGCTGACAGAGCGCAACCTGGATTATGGAGTCTGCGGCATTGCCACTGACAGAGCAGACATATGCCTCAACAAGCTGCTCGTGGCCGCGCTCGAGGGGCGCCTTTTCACAGCTGATCTCAGGACCTGCCACCCAGAAGAAGGCTACACCTTTGGAGAGCAGCAGATTTCTGCAGGTAAGCCACAAACGATTCGCCGTGGGGATTCAGCCAATGACTGCAAGCCCTGCAGCCTCAGCAACATGAACTGCATCTGCAGCAGACCCTTGGGATGAAGCTGCGTGCATTTCGAATGCCTGGTCCTTCCTCAAGTGGCTCGGGGTCCATTGATGAGCCCCTGTCGCTGCTGTTGCAAAAAACTGGGACAACTGCAATACCCCGCATGCTGTGGGAGCTGCTAAAGAATTGCTGTTGTTTTGGGATCTTGAGTTCCTCTGTAGGCACCATTTGGGGTGTGTACCCACTCCCTCAAAACAGAGAAATAGCCGCAGCTTCTTGCGGCAGCGGAACGGTGAGGCACCCTTAATTTATGTTGTTTCCCTACTCAACTCCGTGCTGTTTCCGGCCTTGTTTGCCACCGCATAGTGCAGCAACAGCAGCAGCAGCAACAGCCTCAGCAACAACTGTTGCCGCTGCTAAAGTGCCTGCTGCTGCTACTGTTTGCTTCCATTTGTGCCTGTGGCACTTTTGCTGCTCCCATGGCAGGTGACTGTGCTGCTCTACTCTTACCCCGAGCAGCGCAGCCTGACGGACCCGCAGACTGGCTTAGCCCGTGGGATCGTTGGAACCCAGCAAGTGCTCAACGACGCCGAAGTTAGCAGCCAGCCAGTGGTGGCCTGGGACTGGCACCCTCAGAAGACAGGGCTGGCAGTCTGCGCCTCTTTAGACCAACAAATAAGGCTCACAGTTGTTACGAAACTCAACCTCTACTGAACCTAATGAGGCTGGAGTTGCAGGCGCATATGATCTAGGTGCAGCTGTGGCTGCACTTGCTTGCTTGTGCTCAGTGTTATGCATAAAAGCTGCAGCAGCAATTACAGCAGACTGAGCAGAGAGCTAAAAGCCAAGTGCGCGTAACTTCAACTTGCTGGGCCTGCAGCACCACCAGACTGCTGTTGCTGTTGCCCAGCAAGGACAGCCGTAGCCTCAATAGCAGCGCCAAAAAATGGCAGAGTGCAACGATTCTGAGATAAGAACTGAAGCACCTCTTGGCACCTCTTGGCAGCGGCCGCTGTTGCTGGTGCAACTGCTGCAGTTGCTGCTGCCGCTGGCCCTATCAATGTGTGGTTGCAAGTCGTTTCGGTTCATGACAATAACCATGCATTTGCGAAACTAGCGCCTTCCAGCTGCGTTAAAAAAACAGTGCAGGCCTCAATTATGCTCCAGACGATGTTGCACGCTGCAGAAGCAACAGGTTGCACTAGCTGCTGATTTCGGTAGATTTCTGCAGGGTCGTTGCAGCTGCAACGGCAGAGGATGCAAGGGCCGCCGCTGCTGCGTCACTGGTTGCTGCTGCCTTCCAGGCAGCTGCAAGGGCATCTTTGTGCGCGTCTCTCAGCCTCTGGTGGTGGCGCTGCAGCCAACCAAATGTGTCGGACGGACACAGCCGTTCCAGAAAATCCCCTAAGTCTTCTCTCAGGCGCCGCACGCGGCGGCTGCGGCAGGTAACAGCAACGCCACCCGCTGCTGCTGCCCCTGCATATTCAAACTGGGGTCCTGCCAGGGACAGACACTGACGCAATTCTGCTGCTGCTGCCGCTACTGCGGGCGCTGTCGCTGCGGCTCTTGCTTCTGGTTGGGGCTGCTGCTTCTGCTCTGCACTGGCGCTGCTGCAGCAGCCGCTGCTGCTGGTACCTGTGCTGGGGCCACAGTGTTGCGCTGCCTGCAGCTCTTGCTGCTGCTCCTTCTTACACAGGCCCTGCTGATGTTGCTGCTCCTGGTCACCTAATTGCTGCTCTTGCTGCAGCAATAAAGCGGCCTTTACAACGGCCTTGCCCGTGTCAATGAGGACTTGCTGCTGCGCCACATTAAAATCGAAGCACACATCTAGAGGCCCGTCACCATTGTTGACGGCCAACGCCTCTCCTCCGAACTGCTGCAGCAGCAGCAGCAGCCAGTCACTGCTGGCCGTGGTTAAGGAAGTTCCCAGCAGCAAAGCAACAGGGGGTGCACCTGGCACCCACTCCTTTCTGCTGCTTCTACTGCCACTGCTGCTGGTTGGACAGCTGGAAGCAGCCGAGCGGCCAGCCTCTCCGGAATTGTGGTCCGTAGCAGCTGCGGCCTCAGCAACAGCAACAGCAGTTTCTGCTGCTGCCTTGCTTGCACCGCAACGGGGCAGCAGCCAGTAGCCGGGAGAGCAACAGATACTGCATGTACACCTAGCGCCACCCCTGCATGTGAGGTGGACTGCAGCAGCAGCGCAGCACTTGCTGCTTGTGCTAGTGCAGTCGCCGGAGCAGCAATGGCAGGTGCTACAATGTGTCACGAGCTGCTGTTTCTTGACGAGTGCAACAGAGTCTTTTGGGGAGGTCCCTGCTGCAGACGGCGGATCGTGTTCACCGCTAGCAGCAGCAGCAACAGCAGCAGCAGCCCGCTGCTGCAAGACGCCATGCACTGACGGCCACTGTAGCTCAGCTAGCCGGGGTGCAAGCGCCTGCTGCTGGTCTGGCTGCAACAGCAAAAAGCTAGGGTCAAACAATCCTTGAGCTGCAGCTGCTTCAGCTGCTGTGGCAGATGCAGCGCCGCACTTGCCCGTAACAGCAGCAGCGGAAGCAGCAAGCAGCAATGCTCTGTTGAAACCTTCAGCAGCAAATGCCGCGTGGGGAGAAAAAAGGCACTCATCAAAAAGGAGACACAGAGGCAGACAGCAGCTCCCGCATGCAGGACACGCTGGCTGTAGACGCCACCCTTTTGCTGCACCCGATGCAGCTGCTGCTGCTTCCACCGCTGCTGCTCCTGCTGCGGCTCCTGAGGTAAACGGAGTAGCTGCTTGAACAACCTTGCCGTCTTTTTCACTTATGGAAACCCACAGGACTTGAGTGTGGTGCAATGCTGCGTCGAACTGAAAAGGGCATGCAGCAGGCTTTTGCTGCTGCTGCTGCTGCTGCTGCTGCATATGGCCAATGCATCTAAAGAAAAACACGTTCCCGTGCAGTTCAACGAGCGGAAGGAACGAAGGCAGATGAAATAAAGAATAATTCAGTGGAAACGCAGCCGCAGCAGCAGCAGCGGTCATGGACCCAGTTGATGCTGCTGCAGCTGCTACTGTTGCTGCTTCAGCAGTGTTTGGGTCAACAAAGGCACCAGGTGCTGCAGCGGCTCGTACCGCAGCAAGAAGCTTATTCTCCATAGTAACGAGACAGCACTGCTGCTGCTGCTGCTGCTGCTGCTCTTTGGGGCCCTTCCGTTCAAAACTTTGTTGCTGCTGTTCTCCGCTGAGGTGGTTCTGCTGCGGCGAAAAAGGGCGAAGGGCAGACTCGGGTGCAGCAAAAAGAGACAGCAGTAGCAGCAGCGCATAACGCTCCAAGTTGTCTACGTTCTGTGTCAGCAGCAGCAACCGCTTTGGCTGCTGCAGCAGCAGCAGCGCCAACACAAAATGCGACAGCGACGGGAAGGACTGAGCGTACAGTCCAGGAGGGTGTGCTGCAAACCAAAAGCGCGTCATCCTGATGCAACAGCAACAGCAGCAGCAGCAGCAGCAGCAGCAGCAGCAGAACAAGAATGCACTCATGCTCAGCACAGGGCAGCGCTGCAGCGATTCAAACTGGCGAAAGTGAAACAGCGGCAGCTGCTCTACCTGCTGCGGCGGCTGCTGCTGAACAGCAGCAGCAGCCGCAGCAGGCACAGCAGCTGCATCAGCAGATGTCGCAGCCGTAGGTGCTGCAGCTGACCAGTCAGCAGGGGACTCCAAAGCTTTAGCTACTGTTGCCTGATCCGAGCTAAAGGCTCCCCATACGCCTGAAGATGACACGCGCTGCTGCTGCTGCTGCTGCTGCCCTCGCTTAGAATAAGGTCCTGTTTGCTGCGTCCCCTTGGGAAAACGCTGCTTTCGTTGCCGCTGCTGCTGCTGCTTCCGGTACAAGGGGATTCCGCTTTTGCTGCCGAGCCCTGCAGCAAGTTAAAACAAACAAAAGCAGCAGTAGAAGCAGCCACACTAGCTCACGCTGCGAGGGCAGCACCAAAATCAAGAAAGCCAATAACTGCAGCAGCAGCAGCAGCTGGACAAATTGCTGAAATGCCACAAACAGCAGAAGCAGCAGCATGTCTTCGTCGACCGCTAGTCTACCTGCTCCTGTAAGAATAATAAGGGGGTGGGGGCAAAAGGGGTCAAAAAGCAGTTGCTGCATCGTGCTGTTGCTGCTGGTGCTGCTGCTGCGCGTGCGTCCCTGCAGCGGCTCCTGGTCTTGAAGCTTCATCTTCCTCTTTGACAGACTTTGCCTGATGCTGCTGTTGCCCCTGGCCCTGCTGCTGCTGCTACCTACTGATTGTACTGCTGAGTATGCTTGTGCAGCTTGTGCCTCCTCCTGGACCCAAAGAAGCCTTGCATCGTAGCAGCAGCAACGGTAGCTAATCCCCTGCCACGCACAGAAAACAGAAATCCTGTTTGCAAAGAGAAGTTGCTGTCAGCGTTGAGGGCGAAGGGCCCCATGGAGCAGCTGGTCACTTGCTGCGCCCAGTCCAGATCAGCAAATCGGCGATTTACGGGGCTGTTCTTGCTCCTAATGCCATTTCTGGGACTGGCTTGTCTCAGATTAAGAGAGAGAAAGGCATCAGAGAGTGCTTACAGCAGCAACTGCTGCAGCGCCTGCTCCAGCTGGAGCGGCTACTGGACTCGAGGGGCCCCTGCACCTACAAACTCGGCATACTTGGGGGGCCCAACTGGAACAGAGGAGTAACGAGTAGCGAATCTATTTAAAATGTAAAGTTTAAATTGTTCAAATATAATTTAGTTCATTCCGCCGTCCATAGGACCGTTCCAGACAGCAGGATAAGCAACAACAGCAGTTGCAGCAGCAGCTGCTGCTCCCGCTGAGCGCAGCACAACGGGAAAAGTCCGTTGCAGCGTCGCGGCTTCACGGTCCGCTGCTCCAGCAGCAGTTTGTCTTATCCTCTTGTTCGATTGTTTTGGTGCTTACCACCAAATTTATTCTGCTGCAAGGCCGCAGCTGCACGCTGCGTGCTGCAGCGTGACTGCGGCAGCAGTTAAAGCAGCACCAGCAACAGCAGCAACTCCAGTCGGCGGCGCCCCTCCAGTAGGAATCAGTCGAAAGGAGACGCTTTTTTTGTGTCCTCTGTTGCTGAGTGCGATTTGCAAGGGATTACTGCGCTCGGAGGAGCCGCTGCAGCAAAAGAAACACCAGGTCGGTAGCAGGAAGCAGCAACATCACCACCTGGCTGCTTCTGCTGCTGCAGCACGGCCACGAGGGCGAACAGCTGCAGGACGTGCTATCTGCTGTCCATTTCTGGCTGTTGTCTCTGTGCTTCGCCCAATCCTGGCGAGAGACTTGGCGGCAGCAGCAGGAGGCTCAGCAGGCTCACCAAGAGCAGCAGCAGCGACAGCTTCTGCTGCTCACACAATGGAGGGTTCTCCTTTGGAGTTCACCTGGGCGGGCCAAGCACTCCTTGCTGCTTCCACTAGCAGAAGCAGCCACAGCAGCAGCAACCCTGCAGCGCATCCGACGTCCCCCGCACTGGCAGCAGCAGGAGGAACAGTTGCAACGGGAGCAGCAGCAACTGGCAAACAGCGCAAGCCGCACATCTTCAGTTTGATTGACGAAGCCTTCCTGCGCGCTGCTGCTTCCCTCTATCAGCAGCAGCAGCGCCGAGTGACGCAGGAGCATATCTCCCAGGGAGAGGAGCAGCGGGAGGGGCCGCAGCTGGCGGATCAGCACCAGGAGCAGCAGCAGCAAGAGCGGAGGGAGCAGCAGCAGCACAGTCAGCACCAGCAGCAGCAGCAGCAGCCGCATCAGGGGCACGATGATGCAGCGCGCAGCCTCTTGTCGTTTAGGGAGCTGCTGCCTCGAGAAGCTGCTGATGGAGAGACGCCAGCGGCTTGCCTCTTCCTCGACAACACATGTGCTGCTGCTGCTGCAGCGCAGCAGCACGTTTTGCTGCCTCCTGTCCATGCTGTTCTGCTCCTGGGACCCTCAGGCAGCCCCAAAGCAGCGCTGGCTGCTGCTGCTATTAGCTACTGCTTCCATAAGCTCCAGAAAGCAACAGCAGCGGAGTCCGAGGATCCAGACGCAGCAGCAGCAGCAGCAGCAACAGGAAGGAGAGAAGCAATCAGTTCTATCAGCGACTTTATAAACAGAATTTGCAGGGCCTGGTCATTGCTGGTGCGAGGGCTTACCTCAGTGGCATCCCCGCACTACAGCAGCAGCAGCAGCAGCAGCAAGTGGTTTTCCCAGGCCTGTGTCTCGACACAGTTTGCTCTTCGCGCCAGAAGTGGGTCAGCAGCACCCCGAGCAGCAGCAGCAGCAGCAGCAGAAACAGCAGCAGCAGCAGGTGCTGTAGCAGGTGTGGCGAGCGTCCCTGAGTGCCAGGTGTACGTGCACCCTCTATTCCTCGCCGCTGACAGAGCTGCTGCTGCGCCGGTGTTTGGTGCTGCTGCAGCAGCAGCAGCAGCTGCTGCTGATGACTCCGCATCATTTGTCCTGCTGCAGCTCGTGAGGACTGCACTCCTGGAGGCCAGCAGGGAAGCAGCAGCGAAAACAGCGGGCGCAGCTGCTGCTGTTGCTGCTGCAGCTGCGTCAGTGCCCAACGAAGCACCCAACGCTGCAGGTGCCGCGGCAGCAGAAGCAGCAGCAGATTTTGACCTTTCGAAAACGCGGGCGAGCGAAGCAGCAGCAGCAGCAACAGCTGCTGCTGCTGTTGCGACGCTGCTGCAGCAGCTAGCTGCCCCGGAAAGGGAAGAAGCCTCATGGCCTTTGACCTGGGGAACTGTTAGCAGCATTTTGTCTATTTTAGGTGTTTGTTGCGAAGTGAAGCAGCAGATAGCTAGAGGGCTAATTGTTGCTGCTGCTCTACCCTGTATCTCCTTCACGCCTCCATCAGGCCACAGCAAACTTCAAAACAGAAGTGCTGCTTCAGTAAGCCTTTTGCTGCTGCTGCTGCTGGTGCTGTGTCAGGTGGGGTGCGGGGCTTTAATATGCGTGAAAAGGCATTTTTTATTGCTAGCTGCCGCTGGTTTGCTGCAGTTGCTGATTTTGCTCTTGTGCAGAGTACCAAACCGTATCTGGTTGTTGCTGCTGATCGCTGTTGTTGCTGCTGCTGCTCCTGATCCTGCTGCTGCTGCAGGTGGTGAGGGATTTTTTCTTTTTCTGTTGTTTGGAGGCGATGGGGTCAGGGGCCGACGATTTGGAAAACTTGTTTGTTTCTTCTCCATTCTTATGCTTCGATTCCGACCTAGCTCCTATTGCAGCAGCGCGGCGCGCTGCTGCTGCTGCATCACAGGTGTACAGACACCTGGTGGGGTGGGTAGCAGAGCTTGGGGGGCGTCAGCTGACAGCCCTCGCCGCTGCAGTGCAGAAAGCGCCTGCAGCGGCTCCACAGGGTGAAGAGTTTGTGCTGCCTTGCTGCTGCAGCACGTGTGCAGACTCCAGAGAAACTGCAGCAGCAGCAGCAGCAGGGGGCACGGCAGCAGAAGCAGCACAAGCTGAGACGCGAAGGCTGCCGGAGTGCCTCTTCAGCTCTCTTTCGAGCCACTTTAGGCCTCGCCCGCCCTCGCAGTCAGAGTTTGGAAGAGCAGCAGCTGCAGTAGTGCTGCTGGAAACTGTGGACTTCCTGCCAGATAATGAGGAGGACGCCACAGCAGCAGCAGCAGCAGCAGCAGCAGCAGCAGCAAGCCATGCGCCGCGCTTCTTCTCAGCGGGCCTCAGTCGCCTCTGTAGCAACTTTTTGAACGAGAAGCTGCTGCAGCACATGCAGCAGCAGCTGCTTCAACAACTTTTGCAGCAGCATTCCGAGCAGCGAGTACTCTCACCTAGAGAGACTGCTGAACTGCATCAAGGCATGGAAGAATTGCTGCAGCAGCAAACGCTGCAGGAGCAGCAACTGCGTAGACAGCAGGAACAGCAGCAGCCCAGTTCTGTCTTCATCTCTGGAGAGGAGGAAGCGGCATCGCCGGCTCTGGCGCTGCTGGAAGGCCGCAGCAGCAGCAGCAGCAGCTCCAAGAAACAGCGGCAAATCAGCGTGTTTGGGTTGCTCTGTGATGCTGCGAGGTCTCCCATAATCAGAGACGAGCAGAGGGATCAATTCTTCTTCCAGAAGCTGCAGCAGCAGCTGCCTGCAGCAAATTTGGCTCTTTGCCGCAGCGTTAGCAGCAGTAGCAGCAACACAGATAGCTCTTCTCCTCTTTCTCTAACTCTGAGGCATGCGTGGGGCAATTGTACGTACACTGTGGATGGCTTTGCTGCTGGGGTTGTTCGCTGCAGCACAGCAGCAAACAGAGCGCTGGTGAACCTGTCTCCTCCGCTGCTGCCGTGGCTGCTGCAGCGCCTTGCCGGCGCTGCAGGCAGCGACAGAAGCAGCAACAGCAGCTGGCTGCTGGGGGCGACGCCTTCGCTTCCTGCAGCTGCAGCAGCGCTGCTGGATTGTCTTTCTCCCCCTAATTGCAGCTGTTCTTTTGCCGTTTGCCTGCCAGCCACTGTGCTGCAACAGCAGCTGCTGCAAAGAAGACTTTTGCTGCCGCAGCACGCGCTCCTGCAGCGACAGTGGTTCCCGGTGTCTGTACACCTGAAGACTGTGGAAAAAGCCGCAGCGGAGCTGCTGCTACGAAATGGCCATCCTGCACCGAACAGTCCGGCTGCTGCTGTTGCAGCGGTAGCTGCATTTGTTGCTGCAGCAGCAAGACTGCGCAACAGTGAAGCCTCTTTGCCTGCTGCTCTTACTGAAACAGAGTGCAAAGCCGCCACTTCAGAAATAGAGACAGCTGCAACAGCAGCGGAAGTTGCAGCAGCAGCAGCAGCAGAGGCGCAGCGAGAACAATCGGCGAGGCCCTGGAAATTGGGCACCTCTGCAGTGTTCCTGTCTAGCAGCGCAGCAATGCAGCTTCTCGAGGTGCAGCAGTGGCTGCAGGATGAGGGAGAGGGGGAGTGGATGGCAGCTGCAGCGGCTGCAGCAGCGGCTGCTGCTGCAGCTGCAGAGAGGCGGCAGCAGGTCCGCGCTGCGATGCGGTCGAGCATCTTGTGCGTTGCTGTTTTGGAGAAGCTGCGCAAACGCAGCAGCAGGAGAAAAGCCCGCGAGGCAGCTGCAGCAGAGGCAGCAGCAGCGGCAGCAGCGGCTGCAGCCGAAGCGAAAGCAGCGACGGAGATTTCAGAACTCAGCGATGCGGCACCGACAGAGACGCAGCAGCATGTCGAAGCCCCGCAGCAGCAGCAGCGAATGCCGCAGCTGCTGCTTGTGGGGAGGCGCGTGGACGATCCACCTCCCAGATCTGCTGCAAGTGCTGCTGCGGCTGCTACGCTATCCGAGAACAGCCGCATCCGGAAGGTACTGCGCATGCAGAACCAGGCTCGGGACGACCTGGAGCAGCAGCAGCAGCAGCAGACGGGTAAAGAGGGACGGCTGCAGCTGCAACAGACGCCAGAGGAGGGTCAGTTACAGCGGCAGCAGCAGGTTTCGCGCAGAGCAGCAGAAGCACAGTCTGCCCTGCACGCCGGCAGCAGCAGCAGCAAAGCTGCAGAGCAAAGCCAGCAGCTTTCTGTGGAAGCATCTGAAGGCGAAGCAGCTGGTGAAGGAAGCTGTGACAAAGTGGCAACAGCAGCAGCAGAAGCAGCAGCAGGAGGAGCAGGAGCAGCTGCAGCAGACCCTGCACAGCAAGAGGCGGTTGCGACGGTAGCCCGAAGTAACCAGGCGAGGTCGCAGAGACAAAGGCGGCAACGGAGACGCCGTGCCTCCCGAGCAGCGTCCGCAGCAGCAGCAGCAGCAGCAGCAGCAGCTAGCGCCCCTGTAGCAGCAGCTTTAGTCTCGCACCACCCCAAATTCTACCCCGCCCCCCCGCCCCCTCCACT